ATTTCGATAACTGAACTCAAAAAAGTTTAAAGTTTATCTTTTACGAAATTGAATTAATTATGTAATTGTACTAACTTTCTAGTAGTATTCAGATATTTTTAAAAATAATCACAATTTTAAGTAAAAAAAATGTTTAAAAATATTGAAATTTAACTATTTTAAAAATAGTAATTTTTTAAAGGATTTACTCCATTCACAGAAACACGGTAATTTTTTCAATTTTTTAAGGACTATATCTTCAACAACGGTTTGTGATATTTTGACGAGTCTTAAAAAAAATCAGTACAATATAAGCTGTGAAAATGATAGATTGACACAAAAAAATATATATACATAAAAATTTGTTTTGATTCATCTATTTTAAAAATATTATGACAGTTATCAGTAAAAAAAAGGTTTAAAAATTTAGAAATTTACCTATTTTAAAAATAATAATTTTTTTGGAGATTTTCACCATTTACAGGAAACGAGAGGATAATTTTCTATTTTTGAGGACAATAACTTCAACTAGTTACGATTTTTGATCTTTTGACATATCGTTGAGAAAAATCGGTCCAGTGAAAGCTAAGGAAAGTAGTGACAGATACAAAAAAATAAATACATCATGGTAAAATTAATACCTTGACAGTTTCCAACGACCTAATTTTTCATAATTATGTCGACAGTTTTATCGACAAAAGAATTGTGACAAAGCTTTTTAAATCGTAATATTGAAAATTAAGTTTTCAATTTATACAGAGTGGCCCAGCATTCACTGACAACTTAAATAACTTTTGATTTAGTTAATTTTTTTTTTTAATAGATAATATACTTCAGGACTATAATAATAATATAATTAGTAACATTTTTACAATTAAATTTAGAAAAATTTAATTTTAAAAATTTACGGAAAATGTTTAAAAAGAATTCAAAATAGCTATTTTTTAGAATAGATTTTAAAAATATTTTGTGAAAAAAATTCTTATTAATGTTTAGTAGTTAATTTTCAGTAACATTTTAAATTTTCTACAAATTTGCATTTTTCTGTATTTATTCTATGGTACAAATGCTGGTTATGTTTTATAATAAAGAACAGAAGTAAACACAATCTTTCCACGCCAAATGTGATCTTGGATTTTTTTTTACATTTTATTTAAAATTTATATTTTTAATAAATTATAAAAATATAAATTATTGAATTATTGAATTATAATTATAGACCTAACGTATAACTGTTCTTTAAATAAAAATCTGTAAAAAATTTTAACTAGATCAAAAGTTATTTAAGTTGTCAGTGAATGCTGGTCACCCTGTATATAACAAACAAAAAGTGAAGTTGAGTAGGAGTGAAGTCGTCAGTCTAAATTAGTATTGATATGTGTACTATCTTATGAAAAGGAAAAAAAAAGTAATGAATAAAATAAAATTATTTAATATGTACATTGAAAAGTAATTGTTTGTTAAATTTAAAATAAAAATAGGTTTATTTATTAAACAAAAAAAACTCTTTTAATAAATAAAACCCATAAATATTTATAATTTTTAAATATTTATAAGTATATCAAACATGTTTAGTTTACACAAAGTTAATCGTAGAAGTGATAGTTACAGGTCCGAAATTGGGACAATACTGACGCTTGGCTAGTCTTCTACTTTTTCTTTTATCAAATGTTGTTTTGATTATTTTTTTGTATTTGTTGTTTTTGTATTGTTATTGAAGTTGTTATTGTTGTTTTTTCATTTATTTTGTGATAAACAATTTGATAATCTCTTTATTTATCTAAATTTTGGCTCACTCCAATTTTCTATAATTTTACCAATTTATTTACTTTGTCACAACATCACTATCTGCCATGTTTGGCTTATTTTTTTTTGTAGATTATTTTTACCATAGTAGTAGTTAGTATTACCTATATCCATTATAGAAGTTTATGAATTACTATTTAATTTTTATTGATTTATTTATCTAAATTTTATTATTAATTATTAAATGATTAAATTTAAATTATTATTAATTGATTAGCCTAAAATATTAAATATTCTACTTATTATAAATTATAAAATAAAGTCCAATTTCGCTATCAACAGATAACTATTTTTTTGTGATATTTGTGATTTTTAAATCTTATTTTCTTCCAATTTTACTCCACATTTTGCTGTTTTTTATATTTAACATATTTTACTGTCATGTAACAAGTTCATATTTGTTTATATTTTACTTTTAAAAGTTTAATTTAAACGCAACTAATGTAATTAAATAAACACATTAGTTTTATTATTTAAAATCTTTTTTTAAAACTTCATTATAATAAAACAATTTAAATCTATATTAATGAATTTATTACAGGCAAATTTTATTTAATTGGCTTTATGTTTTTAGTCTCAACCGTTCTAGACGCTAAAACTTATAAATTAATTTAAAACTGGTGAAATTTTTTGCCTACAGTTGCCATTTATAATAATTATAAATGGCATAAGGTATAATTATTATACCTTAAAATAGGTGTAACATAATTATGAATACACTTCAGCATCTTTCTGAATTTATGCAAACCATTGAAAATGATAGTTGTAAGAAAATTCAAAATGTAAAAAATAAGTTAAATAATTTGGATATGGGGATTTTTCTTATAAAACCTTGAAATGTATTGAACAGTTCATATCCGCGTTAGCAGTGAAATATTTAAGCGATGGGAAAAATAATAGAATCAAATTATTTTTTTTTTAATAAAAAAAAAACAAAGTTAAATGATTAAACAAATCGATTTTTGATATATCTTAAGGTACTAATACTAGTGCAAAATAATTCCTTCTACGTCTTAAGGGCGTCCTCCAAAAGTACCATTAATATTGTAAAATGATTGGACACACGTAAATAACAGAAATTATTCGATCTAATGTAATTAAATCTGAATTGATATATGCTGCATTAATTTTGTTAAAACAATCAGAAGAAGAGGACACAGCAAAACATTAAAAGAATCTGTATCTACCACTCTTATTAGGGATTCTAAAATAAGAAAATGTTAGAAGAATGAATATAAAAATATTAATGCTACTCGTATAAACGTAGATAAAACATTGTCTTTAATATAAAATGCTAAGGTAACACAACTTTTATAATCTACCTTACAATTTAATAAGAGAAACAAAAATGATATTATTCTCTAAAAAACGGTCATTAAAATTAAAGAATCTGTATATTAAAATTCTCGATTTTATATTTTACATTTTTAACTATATATTTCTATAAGTCTTGAAAATTGTATGGATCAATACAATTTTTTATGTGATATACTATTTATATACTTCTTTCATTCGACATACTTTTTTTATTAAATTGGATAATTTCCTTTATACAGGAAGGGTTCCTTAACTTAAAAATTCGTATAGAAAGTAGAAAATTTTCAACTAATTTTTAATTAAAATATATTTATTAATTATTCATACGTAACCTTATAATCAAATATAAATATTTGTTATATTAATTAGTGGTATTTTGTTATTATTTAGGCCATATGCAAAACTCTAATTGCAGATTTTAAATCGGTGCAAAAATGAGTTTAGGAAAGTATATTTTGGTCTCGGATTAAAATTACTTGTATACCAGTAAATTTATTTATAAATAACAAGCAATTTTTATTTTTTATATTTCATCAAGACCTTCAACTTTTATATACGTTTGCCATAAAAGTAATAACTACTTTGTAATTTTTTATAATTTCTCCGTAAAAATTACAACATTAAATTATTAAATATCAATTGCATTTTATATTTATTTTCTATAATAAATATTTACTTATAAAATACACTTATAAATTATAAAACTTACAATCAATATATAAATAAAGAAATAGGAGATCATGTTGCTTTTGGAATAATCCGCCAAATTTTTAAAACTATACACTATCTACAGATTTGCTTCGAAGTGTTTTTTTATGATAGTGATTTTAATCACTGTCAGATTAAATTTATACTGAACACAACAGTGCCACGACCCCATTGTGCTAGTTTTTTTACACAATTTTTATCGTTTAAATGTAAAAAAAATGACAAGTAAAAGGTGATGATAAAAACTTTCAATAAAAAAAAAAATGTTATACGAGAAAAATTTAAAACCATTATGAGGTTAAAAATAGATTATGTAAGATTAGGAGGTAAAGACACGTCTAATGATAGGAATACTTCTCGGCAATTTTTTAATGATCCATTTAGGACAACCAAAATTACAAGAATTAACCTTATTACAATTTGTCCAACTTAATGCTGTGCTTCTGGTTAAGAAATAAAAGATAAATATAGACGCGTTAAAACTGCTAAATGGTTAATAAAAGAATATCCATTGTACTATAGCCATTTTTTATTGAGTTACAAGCATTTTTTGTACACAAAGCGAGATTTGTAGCGCGAGTGGGTGGGTACAGTTAATACTGATGTATATTTATAATGCATACTCCGCCCAGGTTACATACTCACTCTATATACTGAACTGCCTGTAACTCAATAAGTACTTATCCTAAAGTTAATATCGACTCATTCAATTTTTCTGTAAGAAATAAGCAAAATATTGATATTTTGAAAAATTATATTTTTCTTATACGAGACGAATAATAAAAAACTATGTTTTTAACGTTACCTAAAACTATAAAAATTATTTTTAAAAAAATGTAACGAAGAATATTTGTTGAATCAAAAGTTATTAAAGATTTCAAAACCTTGTGGGATATCGTGTATTCTTAGATATGATTTTAAATTATTAATTCTCGTAGTGTTTGACATCCAAAATAAATTATTCTACTTATTTTAAAATAAGTCGATGACANATCAAAAGTTATTAAAGATTTTAAAACCTAGTGGGATATCGTGTATTCTTAGATATGATTTTAAATTATTAATTCTCGTAGTGTTTGACATCCAAAATAAATTATTCTATTTATTTTAAAATAAGTCGATGACAGCCTATCATTTCTTAATATTTATCAGTTTTGTTTAAACGCTAATCATTGAAATGATAATAAATATTTTTAACAAAGAGTAAATATATTTTATTAAAATTAACTTAACAAGGATAATTATTGTATGGATTAGTAGTTAAATAAATTTCAAAAAAGTATTACATCATTCTTTGATCTCTCAATTCTAAAATTATTTTCTTAAATGATTTTAAGAACCTGTTGGCATTGGCAATGTTGAATACCATTGGAGGTTTTAATTTTATCACATTTGCGTCAGGTCCATCAGTACTCAATAATATTCCTTCTTCATCTTTCATACTAAATAGATAAATTATAAATAAAAAATCATTTTCAATTTGATTAAATACAACATCAAAATTCATGAGGTCCTTACCGATTAACAAGTTGTTTGGCTTCTTCGGTCGCCGGAGCCTTAGTATTAGAATTACTTATTAATTCAATTCCAATAAACAACCCAATGCCACGAACGTCTCCAATCATATCCGGATACAACTCTTTCAATTTTTTGGCTTCTGCCAACAAGTAATCGCCGACAACTCGAGCGTTTTCCATTAAGTTTTCTTCATCAATAACATCCATTACCGCTATTGATATGGCACAGGATACAGGATTACCACCATACTAAAAACATAGTTATAGTCTTACTAAAATTGTACTGAGATTACTCAAACCCAATACAAAAATCCCACTACAAATATTGAGATTAATGAATTCGACAATCTGTATGCCTTGAAAAATTACAACTAAAATTTCATTGCAAATCTACTTTGATTATGTGAATTTTTCATAAAATAGTTTATCAATTCAATTCAGTTAATTACTTTAATGATTTGATAAAATATTTACCATAAAGTAATGACTAAATACTATTTTATTTTATTTTAGAACTCACAGTATTAAAATATTGAATGCCGGTGGCAGCAAAACTATGAGCAATCTCTTCTGTGGTTATAACGGCAGCTACAGGGTGTCCATTACCCATTGGTTTGCCTACTGTCACAATATCAGGTATAACATCCGGTCCATCAATTTGAAAAGCCCAATAATGCGTTCCTGCTCGGCCAAAACCAACTTGAACTTCGTCGGCTATACACACACCACCAGCTTCACGAACATAACTAAAAATTGATAACTCCTGATAAACTTATAATACGAACAAAATATTTCACGTTAAAATTTTTATTAAATTCCATTAGGTACACCACTTTAAGTTTTGGCCTCCGTTCCAGAACTAAAAGTTCTTAATAAAATTTTAAAATATCTTAATAAAATTAATATATTTCTTCAGAGACCATTTGAAACACTAAAAATAAAAAATCCAACTGCTCTCCTATGAGTCCTAATTACGTTGCTGTTACTTCTATTTTAAAATGACCACCACATTAATAATTATTTTTAATTAATAAAATATTTTAATTTTTTGACACAACAAATCATTTGCATAATAGCTCACTTGTATACGTTTCGCAAATAATTTGGAGGCATAATGATTTGTCCCCCACAACTTTGTAAGCTTTCTGCGTAGTAGGCACACATTTTCTGACCCCTCTTTCCAATTACTTCTTCATCAATAATTTTTTTTACCTCCAACGCGTATAACTCCCCTAGATCTTCGTCAAAGTGTTCATCAGCTCTCAATTTACCCCTGTAAGTATCTGGCACGGGGGCCTGTAATAAGTAATGTAAATATAATCTTTGAAATTTAAGATAGTGTCATTTTGTAATCAAAGTAGGTAGTAAAATCAAACAAACAACTTAGATAACTGATAAAGAATCAATTAAAAATTATAGATATTATATAATGATACAAAATATTTATCTAAGTAGTCTGTACATTAATTTACAACATGCACGTTGGATGCGATAAGTGGAATGTATTTGATTACAAATTCATTATTTTAGTACATCAATTGTTTACATACTACATGAACATAATCTGGTTTTTCTGGTGCTCCTGGTAAATTTAGTTTGTAAGGTGAAATGTTGATTGTTGACGTCAGGTGTCCATGATAAGCGCTGAAAATTTACAAAACAAAATAGAACAATTTCTTCATTCCAAAAACTTGTTTTAAATTTTGTATTGTTAACGCATATTATTGATGATTTGAAATTATTATTAATTTTTTCCCAATAACAAATTGAGTGGTTCATTACCTACAAAAAAAAAAAAATAAATATACCTCGTTTAAAAGTTAAAAATAACTTTACCGTACCACTCAATTGTTTTAATTAGTAACTTATGTATAGCTACTAGTGGATTTATATATTTTTCATTACACTTAATCTTAAATATTGTACATTTTCAACAAAGAGGAACAACCGTATTGCTCTTCATGAGACGTACCATTGACCATTGAACACTTAACACTCCACTGCCTCACATACAAGGAAGAGCGGAGTATTCTAGGCCACCCCAACAACATGGAGGAAGCTCTGGGCGAAGCAAACACGGATGCCATTAACAGATTCTATGAAACCGCAAGACTTGTACATTTAATGTAAATTCATAACATTATTGTATAAAATTTAATTATAAATATGTGTGTATAGCTTAAATCAATCGATTGTCAACTTATGACTTTAATTAATGCACAACTAATAATCATGTAAAAAAAAAAAAAACTGTAGGCTAATGTACATAAGTTGTCGAAGCCTTTTCATAATAAAAAAAAATCTTAAATATTATGAAATGCAAATATTAATTAATATTCAATTCAAATAAAGAAAACCAGTTTGTTGTCATACAAGGCAAGTATTAATTAGCAAACGACTTTTCTTTGTTTGTCATGAGGTTTACATTATCTAATAGATACTTCAAAAAGGTAAAAAATATTACTAGTTATCTCATAAGTTGTAATACTCAAATCTAATTTACACAGTTTAATCAGTGAAATAANATATTACTAGTTATCTCATAAGTTGTAATACTCAAATCTAATTTACACAGTTTAATCAGTGAAATAATCTCATTATCTGTAAAAACTATAGACTTTGATACAATCCAATTTTATTTGGCATTAGTGTAATATTTATCATATAAATTAATGACTAGTTACATATATATATATATAAGTTTTTATATATGAAATTAATTCTGTTCGCTACAAAAAAGTTATAAAACTAAAAAATTATTTGAGAATATCTCAGCACTTACTGATCGAGTGTAATAACATCACTATTACCAGTGTGTTGACGAGCCAATCTGAGGGCTAAATCATTTGCTTCAGAACCTGAGTTAACAAAAAAACAAACTGACAGTTGTTCGGGCATTTTTGAAATTAATTTTTCAGCACATACAACTAAGTTATCATGTAAAAATCGGCTATTTGTATTCAAAGCTTGCATTTGTTCTACGCCTGCTTTTACGACTTTTGGATGACAATGACCAACTGAAAATTAAACAAAAAAATATGAGGGAGTAATTTTTAACTATATACAATACTACACTAAATCTTTAGATAAATAATCGAATCTAAAATAGAACATATTATTTATTTTTATTGGTTTATTTTAATTAAAAAAAAATGTTTTATCACGAATTGTTGTTATAATAATTACTACACCAATTAATACCTTTTTGACCTTTATTACGATTATTAATTGCTCACTCAAGTAAACAATTACGATTTCTTTATTATATCTAGTATAAATTAACGAATATTATTGACCATAAAAAGATAGACACTAGCAAAAAAAATTTCATGTATTTTATAGTAGTTATACAGCTTTTTTATCTTACTTTTATCGAAAACCGTTCAATAATACAACAAGCGTCACTATTTTAATCCCTAAAGCATTTGGGTAATTACTATGAGTACTCGTAATTGACTAACAATGTGTAAAATTCACGTCATGAACAAAACAAAATCATTTTGTACTCTAAACGAGATATGATGTATAAAATTAGTTTAATTTAGTATGCATGAATAAACATATATATTAATATAGAACGATTTATTTATAATGCCTAGCTAAGCTATAGTTAATATAAATTATTAATTGTTGCTAATTTCTGATACCAAACCATAGGCGCTAANCTAAGCTATAGTTAATATAAATTATTAATTGTTGCTAATTTCTGATACCAAACCATAGGCGCTAATGTACTCTAACATCACCAAAAACAAATAAATATTGTGGAAGTAATTTACTATTAATTATACTATCAATCTGGCGATCAAAAAATAGATGTTTTACTTAATGAATAACACTGGGTCTATAAAGCACCACTTTTAGGATTCTCTATGATTATGGACTATATGTGCTAATGAAAAAAAACTTATTACCACTAAAATTGTATTGCTTTTTTGACAAAACATCTTAAAAATGTAATAATGGTTCAAATTTAGTTATCATCAACCAGCTCAAATATATTTATAATATTATATATTATGTCCAATGCACATGATACAATTAAATTCAGTACTGATACATTTTTTTATATTATATACACATATTGTATACATTATGTCCGTACTATTTATTAAAATTCAAACCAAAATTATTGTGAAAAAAAGTTACAAATAATACAATTATTTTCGGAAAGTAGCACAAAACATTTTATACAAGTGATAAAATTAGATTTCTATGAATAATAAAAATTATAGCCAACGTCTAAATTCTAAAACATTTTTATAAAACTAATAATATTATTGTCTATAAAAATAATAAGTTTATTGTAATATTTAAATATTAATACTTTCACATACCATGGGCAACATTATTTATGCAATCCAAATATTTTCGTCCATCTTGATCATATAGATATTGTCCTTCACCACGAACAATTTTCAAAGGATCGTGTTTGAAAAATAACTCACAGTTTTTTCTAAAAAATAAAAATTATTAATATGTGAAATTCAAAAATTCAATGATGTATTTAAAAAGAACCAATGCTTCATTAATAAAGACCATAATAAACGTTTTAGCATAAAAAGGTGTAAGAAAATTAATTATACAACTTATGTTTTTAGGCTATTTTTCAAAACTCCGTAATTCAATTTTAGCAATTTTTCAGAAAATTAAAATATTAATCTATTTGATAAAATTGGCTTGTATTTTTCGTACACAAAAGAAAACATCACTATTTTATACAAATGATTAAAAGTTTTAAATACCNTTTAAATAACCATTTTCATGACATTATATTTTGAATGCAAGCCAAATTTTATTTTAGCAATAAGGTTTCATTTAAAATTTCAATATTGTAAAACGCATTACAAAAACTAAATTAATGACAATTCAAAGCCAAACATGTATTTTTATTATATAAATTACCTTTTTTTAACTAAAAAATATATTTGACATGATCTGTTACATTTGTATAAAAAATTTTTATTTAAATATTTTTTATTAATGTTTATAAAAATATCCTACCGGTTTTTAATAAAGATTTTGAAAAGCAAATCGATCACAGCATTTTTTAAAACAAGTAATATAGTTGTTAGAAAATCTAATTTGATGAACGCCATTAAGATAAACAAAAAACCTTTTAAATGATTTCAGTGATTTTTATTTAGTAGAACTTTTTACTGTTAATAATTTAATTTAATTTTGTTTTTAACATTNCTGTTAATAATTTAATTTAATTTTGTTTTTAACATTAATTCATTACGAATTGAAAATAAAACTAGTTATAAATTTAAAAAATATGAAAATACATAATATTTTGTTTTTATGATTAATTTTCAAAAAATATTATATTTTAAACAATAAATAATATGATTATATTTATTATATCACAAAAAAATACATATATGATCAAAAATTGTTATCAAAAATAATTTACAAAAACAACATAATAAATAGATAATTTTTGCTAAACCAAAAACTAAACTTTACATGAAAATTAATTATTTAATGCCTCAAATTCACAATAATGAAAAATTATGAAGAATATTTTTTTTCATCTTAAATTGTATTATCTAATAAAGAGCTAGATTTTTAATAATTATAAATTTTTTCTCAAATTACCTTAATTCCTGTCATTAAAAAAATTTAACGAGCGAAAAAAAAATTGACTGGTATCTATATTATCTTTATCATATCGCAAACATTTTTCCCGGAACCATAAATCTTTAGATTCGGGTTTTATAAAAATATTTTTAAGATACCGGTTCAGTATAAGTTCTAAATACTAAAAATATTCTGGTTTAAAAACCGGTGTTTTAAGATTACGTTTCAATCCCCGATTATAATAACATTAATTATAAGTTAAGATGTGTTAAGGATATTTTTTACTTGATATTTCTTATGTATTGCTTAAATTTGTAACATTCAGTTTTATTATAACATTTTTAAGTAATACTAGTTAACTTAACCGACTAGCAATCACCCAACCTAAAAACTTTTAAGGATAGAATTTTATCCAGATAGGTGTATTTTAGTTTATTGTAAAAATGGCATTAAATTTTTCAATTAACTTCTTATAACATTTTTTGAAACAGTAGCTATAAAATTTATTTTGATGTAATTTTCACAAATTAATCAAAACTGTATATGCACAAGCAATTAGAAGGCATTCAGCTTCTTCAATAAAAATAGATTGAAATTATTTTATTTTTTAAAACAGACTAAATCATAAGTAAAAATCAATCATTTGATTCATTATATATATCTTATTGGTGCATCTTTGATTATTTTAGATTCGATGCGAAGCTGAGAAGGTATTAATTCAATTGTTTTTTTTTTTTTTATGAGACTAGATAAACACTTGTTTAGTAATAATATACAACAGATTATCAGAACCGACGGCGATAAAATTCATAATGCACTAAACTTAATACGATCAGTTAATATAAAATTAATAAGTAAAATTATACTAAGTTACGTTTATATCATTTAGTTGTAATCATAATCTAAGCAAATACTTAGAAAGAGAACGACTTACGGTGAATTAGACATTTATTATACTCGAAAAAATCAGTTATACAAATAAAACTAACCCAATATACTTGTTCCGTAGAGCAATAGTTTGAGCCTTGGTAAGTTGTTTATTTTCCATTATTTTGAAAAAATTAGACGATAACTATGTAAGTTAAACTATATTCAATTGATTTGGCCAAGATGTTCATAAAATGTGTGCGCCGGTTCTCGGTTGTATTCCAACTGTTGTATTAACATGTGTGTCAATTATAAATAAAAGGTGAAACATCAGTTAAAATGACCTTCGCAGTATCATCTCAACAGTATTATACAAATAACAAACACATTTATAGCCGATTTAATGATCTTTAACAATTATCACATGTAAATTATTCTAGGTAATGGTAATATTGAAATAAACATATACTCGAACAAGTTTCTAAATCATTTTAATTATATAATATACCATTAATTGTAGTAATATCATGCATATACATTTATCATATTGAGTTTATAATATTTAAAATATATCATCCTTTTGTTTGGTTATATAAAAATTCACATGAATTATTACATAATAATTTAATTGTACTCAGTGGCGTAGCCAATGTTTCCTAAAGATCTCAATGTTTTACCGTTCATTGAAACTTTTATACAAATAAAGTTTAAGGTAAAGTAGTACACTTTTCCATTGTGGCAGCTATATATGATAATTATTTTACATTACATCAATATAAAAAATATATACAAAATGTTCAGTAAGTAAGGAAACAGATCAATTGTTACAAAAAACGTGAGAACAATAGAAACCCGATTCATAACTTACTGAACACCCTACATAATATTTTAATAGAATACTGAGTGGTAAATAAATCATTAGATCAATGACATAATATTTTTTATATTTAATAAACAATTCATAGTAATAAAAAAAACATAAATATTAGAATCAAAATTTATGTAGTATAAAATATATATTTCATGAAATTCTAGAATATTTTATGAACAATTTCACAAGTGCATAAAAAAATTAATTTTGAAATGACTCACTTATATTTTATAATTAAATTTAATTAATAAAATTAATTAATTAGTATCATATAAATTAACAAAGATCACATATTGAGATAGATTATACAACTATTAAAACAAATTAAAAGTTCATAGTATAAATAATAATGATAAAATCTTGTCAGAAAAAATATGATTCAATATGATTTTTATTGTTGCTTTAAGATATATAGATTTTATAATTATTTTTAAGTTTAAAAATGCTATCTTATAACAAAAAATGTTATTTTATCATAGGTATATTAATGTCATTTCAATTAAATATACTTGTGCTTTAATAACTTCAATTTTAGATCTTTTGTCAGAGCATCACAGAATAATTACTTTTATGTCAATTAAATTAAAATTTACAAACTAAAACAAACACTTGATATAGTTAAAAAAAAAAACAATACTGATTATTTTGTGATTTTATTTTCTTATTTCATTGATTGATATTTTTAATGGTTAAAAAAAGTTATTTACACATTAATTTAAACAAGTTATTTTAAAAATAATAGTAAAATATCAGATAATCTATTTAAATGAACATACATCATATATTGTTATAAATTCAAGTAAATATTATTAACATACTAAACATATAAATGTGAACAAAATTAATTTTAATTTAATTTTTAAAATTGATTCACAACTTAATAAATAATATACAAAATTACTTATACATATTCTTTTTAATTGAAAAATTTATTTAAACTGTTAAATCACTCGAAATCACAATGGCACAATACAACAACCTATGGTAAATTATAAATTTTACTCATAAGATTAAGGTTTATCCAAAAAAATATTTAGTAACAAAATTGACACGACTTACATGGACATGAGTTTGAAAAACAAGGGAGGGTAGTTTTAAACTTCTAATTTGAAATTATAAAATTTACGATAAAAATATTATAACTACGTTTTTCTATAAATATTTTCAACAGAATTTTCTTTTATAATTATGAAACAAATATAAATTTAAACAATAATGGCTCTATTTAGACAATACTGGCATATTTTAAAAATAAATTTCCATAATTGAAAATATAAACATAAATTAAATATCATTACATAAACAAACCATTGAATGGCATTTATAAAATTATTGTTTTGAAATATTTATTTCTGTAACAGATATACAAAACACTTTCTTTAATTTTGACTTATAAATATTAATAATTCTTCTAAACTTTATGTTTCAACAAATAAAAAATTAAATAATTCATATAATACTAAAACTAAAAAATACTAAATAAAATTACTTTTATTCTAAAGAGAGAAAATTTTTTACTTAAATAGGAATAAAATAGATATAAATTGATTTATACCTATTACTTTGGTGTTTTTTTTATACTGATCTTTAATCTAAAATCAATAACATTTACTAACTTTTATTTAAGATATAAATAAAGATGTATAATATTTTGTAAATTATTTAACAAAAAAAAAAATGTAATTTTACTATAAAAAAGTTTATATTAATATAACAATATTTTAAATGATATAAAATTAAATAATATCAATTTATTATATAGTAAAATATTGATAAATGCAATAATTAAGTATAATTTTTTAATATTGTATAAATATATTTAATTACTTATATAATGTTAAATCCATAATAAAGGTCACATCATATTATTATTACAGCTATAATTTTGTCAGCAATATAATATTGTTCAAATGAATAAGGATAAACTAAATATTTTTATTTTTTATATCTAGGGAATATGACAATAATATAAGATCATTTTTTCCATAAAATACAACACATTTCATGTTTATCACTGCAGATAATTTTTTATTACCTATATTTTTTCTATGATTCCTCTTGAATCCGATTAAAACAATCTGCTAGGAATGTAAACTGTACATACAAATTAAAGAAAACTAATAAATAAATATAAGTTTTACTGTTGTAAATACAGAATGATTCATTAATTATGCTTTACTGTACATCTTTAAAAATATAAAGTAAAATACATTTTTTTCTCATCAAAGTCTCATATTTTCAGATGCTCTATAATTTTCATAAAAATATTTAGCTCTCTTCTGCTTGATTCTTAAAATTCAATCAACTTGAATTTTTTAAATGGCAACATATATATTTAACCATCTTATATAATAAACAATGATCTAGTTAATAAAAATATTCAACTTATTATTTCAGAAGTTATTAAAAATGTGATGTGAATGAGAGGAATAAAGCGGCAGAAAATGTCTAATGACTTAAAATAGTCATACATACAACTCTCCTTCAGTCTATAATTCAAAGTGATAATAACTTTCAAAATTATAGGTCGAAAGTTTTTATTCACTCATCATTTTCTTAACTAGATATTTATTTACAATATAAACTAATTAAATATATAGATATTGACATTTAAAAACTAAAATCAATATAGTTTTAAAGATCAAAAAGGGGGAGTACAGCTATATATTTTTATAAAAATTATGAAGCATCAAAAAGTATGAGACTTAGTATAAAATAGTTTTTATTTTACTTTATATTTTTAAAGATAATAAGTAAGACCTAATTAAGGAGTCTCCTTGAAATATTTAAAATATATATATACATACATAAGGAGTGTGTAATTTGACACTTTTAGGGTTTTTATCTTCACGTTGAAACTGAAAACTAAATACACCATTTGTTTCATCAATCTCCCAACATTTTATTGTCTTCCAGTTAAACTCTACTACTTGATTCTAAAAATATTTCAAGATAATAATACTTGATCAATTTCATTAATTCATTATAAATCAAAATTATATTATAATAAGAAATATATAAATTTCAGTATTATTCATAGATAATAAATAACATTATATGAAAACCATAATGAGATTAAGGAAATTAAATACTCAAGTATATCACTAGGACTTTATTCTGATATAGTGAGGTATAAAAATTTTTCATTCCTTTTTTTAGAAAAAGAACCTATTAGTTGAGAGTATGTTAAACATTAATATATTGACCTCTAAAGTTCCATCTTCAGTACAAGCAATTAGTCTAAGACTTAGGAAGCCTACAGCCGCCATTACATGACCACTCTTCCGAGAATCGCATGGACAATGAGGAAATATTACTTCACCATAACCAGGAAGTTCTCTAGCCATTTTTAAATACTGAAACATTATAAGCAAGATTATAAAATAAAATATACATTAATAAGTGATTGGAAAAGGCACATATTCAAATATCAAACTAACAAATATTATTGAGATATTGATTTCCAAAATTTATTAATAAATAACTGATTTTAAATCAAATATTTAAATAACTTTTTTTAGGCTTATAGTTACTGGTTAAACAAATACAATTGAAGAATTTCTGGTACAGAATGATGGCTTACCATCATTGTTCTCAACATCATAAACTTATATAACAAATATATATTTAATAAAGGAGTCTTTTATAATTATACTACTGAAATAAATTTTATTTTTTAATTTGAGATGAAAATTCTAACATTTAAATTTATCATTTGAGAAACACCATAAGTCATATTTATTAAACCTTTGGAAAACATTTAAAATCTTTATAGTTATTTTAAAATAATTTTAAACAATATAAAAGCTCAAAAACTAGATTTTGGTATCCAATTTATTATTAAATACTACTAGCATCAGTTTTATTACAAATTTTGCAAGTTAATTCAATAAAGAAAGTTTTTAATAATAATTCTGAGTTTGAGTTGCTTTCAAATTTATAACTTCATTAAATTTAAAATATGTATTTCTAATAATAATAAATACTGAGAAGTAGTTTTTATTTATTATTTTATACTGCTTGCATTAGATTTAAAAACAATTTTTTATAGAAACATTTTTTGACTTGTAGAGGTATATGTATATTGTTTCTCAAAAAACAATAACTTATATGGTTTTTCAAATAAAACCTTAAATACCTTTAAAAGATACAGAGAATTTCTTTTTTTTCATATTTTTTTTAATAATAAATTTTAACTAATATTTTATTATAATAGTATATCAAATCATTAATCAGTGTCATTACTATCAAAATTTTACACATAATCAATACTACAATTACAGTCTTAACAAAAACTTAGCCAAACTTTTGAATTTATTCTCTTAAACAAAATACACTTGTCAATATGTATTTAGCAATGACAATAGTAACACTGTTCCTGAAATACGTACACATGTGTTTTTAGTATTTTTATGGCTTTTTGCGTTAAATATTTTTTAATTTAAATTATATTTTTATTTTTAAATAATTTTAGCTACTGTTAAACAAATTTTATTATATAAAATCGTAATTATATCTTTACTAAGTTTATTTTCATCTTTATAAATAATTACCATTTATCTCTTAATTACACCTTTGCAAAACTGTAGTAAGGTATAAATATTTTCCATTCACTTATTTCAAAAGATTGAAATAATTAAAATAATACTGAGAGTCTTACATCTAACTTTTTGGAAGAATCTTGTAATGCTTTGAGCTCGTATAATCGATCACCTACAACTATATTATTTCTATCTACTTCATCTATTGTACTCCAAAATATAAATGTTGCAGCTAATGAATCTGTTTCTATAAGACGAGCTTCAACTGCTGGATCAAATAACCAACGCTTAATACATAAACAACTAGCACTAGCTGTTCGGTAATTTTGTACATACAACTGGTGTGCTATTTCATTAGGCTGAATTTTCCTTTCTAAAATATGAAGATATATTGAGTTCTATTAGACTTAAACATACTTTCAAAAATTAACAAACCAAAATTGTATTCAACAATTTCAAAAAGGTAAAAGTAATTTGCTGTACTTTCAACCATCTGTATTTTATCAATAACACAGTTATATACAGTATCAGCTGTTGAACTTTTCTTTGTTTTAATTATTACTATTTCCCTGTCTGGTAATATAACTTTTAAATCAACTATTGTATCATTGCTCTGTAATAAAAATATGATTAATTTAGTAATAATATTTTCTACAAACTAATAGTTTACAAGGAAAATACACTGTTATTGAAAAAATAGAATTAACCAAATTTAAACTCAACAAATTTTTAAGATTAGTATTAAATTTTATAATTATAAACGAAGTATATCATTAAAGATTGTGACAAGCACAAAATTGATAAAACTAACATCAAAACGAGTTAAAAATTCAGATTCATTATTAAAACCTACTACATANCTAACATCAAAACGAGTTAAAAATTCAGATTCATTAATAAAGCCTACTATATAAGAAAATTATTATAAGGAGTAAAATGGTCATACCAAAATTTTTAATTTTTAATTTTCATTTTTTTATTAGTAGGTATTTGTTGATAAAAAAAAACAACAATGAATTGTATTAATATATTTACCCAAAATATGAAATAAAATACTATAAAATTAAAAGTATATCTATTGGTGCTAGACTTATCCACTCTAAGCTTCAACTTATTAATAATAATTATGTTTTTAAAAAATATAAAAAATTAACCTGACTATTGTTAGAATCAGCCAAGAAATCCTGCATTATTTCGCTTTCAGCTATTACACGAACTGCACATACTTTTTCTAAATATAATTCTAAACCTCTCCTTCTTGAGTCCAACTGTTGTTCACTAAGTCTGTTTTTTTTTTACAAAATATACAACATAAATTGATTTAACTAATTATAATATAATAAATAAAATAATGATTCAATATAATACTAAAAAATTAAAAAATTTTATACTAACGCAAAAGGCCATTTTCCTGGCAACTTTGGAAAGTTGTAACCAATAAATTCTCTCTTAAGGTTAGTATGTAAATTTGAAAATTCACTGTAGCGTTTTGAACATAAATGTCGGCCAGCCATATATATATTAAACACCTATAATTTAAAAGTTATAGTAAAACTTAATAATAACTTCCATTGTATTAATTTATTTTTAAGCTAAATAATTGAATTTGAACTTGAATTGATTTAATCTATAATTTAAATTTAGTTTTAAAAATACAGAGTAAATTACAAAGGTTATAACAATTCCAGTAACTTGAAAAATTAAAAAATAACTTTATAAATATTTTATAATGTTTTAATTTATAAAAATAAAAATAAAATGCTTTAACATTATTAAAAAAAAACTCAAAATAGTCATTTTGTAACATAAATTGTAAGATAAAATTTGGTACTAATAACTTTAATTAATGTTTTTAAACAAAATTTCAAAGTATTTCAGAATTTGTAAAAATTTGAATTTTTTTTTATATTTTACAGTATCAATAGTCTTGATATGAAAAGATAGAAAGATATATGCAATAATTTCACACTAACTGTTAGTTGTAGGCATAAAATTGTTATACATATTATTTAAAGATAAAGACAATAAACCAGTCTACTAACTTAAATTAAATGTTCCATCAATAATACTGCCTATTACTTTTTTTAATTTCAGATATAAACACACTTATTCATCTAAAATAATTATTATAGAAANATAATACTGCCTATTACTTTTTTTAATTTCAGATATAAACACACTTATTCATCTAAAATAATTATTATAGAAAATTTCCTTAAAATTGATTGAACAAAATGACTGTATTGATTATTTTTTTTTTTTACATTTTACATAAATGTTAAAAAATGTTTTACATTTTTTGATAAATGAAAAAATATTATTTATTATGTTAAAATTATTGTCTAAAGGTCTGAACATAACTAAAAATAAATAAAAAGAAACGTAAAATATAAATTAGTTCTAAAACTATTAGATTTGTCATATCTTTGTATATGACATATATTAGACTCACCACAAATTTTTCACCATTTTTCTCATTAGTGTGATAATCTGGTATAGATATAGGCAATGATCTTTTATCACTATAATCAATGTAATTATAAGTTGATTGTTCTTCATTGGGTTCTAACCTTTCAGCCTCCTTAATTAACATATTATTTATATTTAGTTGATTTAATCAATTATAAAAAAATAACACTACTATTGATATATAAATGAGGCTTGCTAGCCCTTTCTATGAGACCTTAAAAATATTAAATTATTTACTTATCAATTATAACTAATTTAAAAATAACAAATTATATATATAAAAAAAATACTTATTTAATTATGAACCATTTTCTAAAATGAATCTATCTTTTAAACATAAATATCCAATAAAAAAATAAAACATCTTGATTATACTAAAATTACATATAAATTTATTTATAAGTTTATTACAATTCAATTAAAATTTAATTTTTTTTAAGAGTATATATAGTATAAAAATTTTCAAGGTACAATAAAATAATATAACTAAATCTAGTTTAATACCTTTATATGATTAGAAAAATAAGTTAATCAAATTTATATGTTACTAATAAATTTATCTAGTGATTGATTATAATTATTAATACACAAAAATCATTTTTAGATGAATTGTAAACTCACAAAAAAAAGCATTTTTCATTCTTCATTTTATACAATGTAAGTTGTGTAAAAATGTTCAGTTTAATTTTGTTTAAACTAATCATATTAGTTTCCCAATTACTTTAAAAATTCAGTTCCACTAGTTCTAATAATTCTAATCTGAATATATACAGCTGGAATTGTTATTTTATCAAATATTTTTTTTATGTATTAACCCATCAACACCAATTGTTCTCAAAAGGTCCCACTAGTTTTACATTAAAAAATGTATAACAAATCTATTAAACTTTAAAAATATTTAAAATTTAAAGATTTACAAATTTCTTTTTTCTTGGCGTTAATCAGTTATTCATTATACTCTATATCCATATAATTGTATGGAAATACAATTTACTAATTTAACTTATCTTTCAGCTCTATATAACACAAGTGTGTTATTATGTACATCGATAAACTTTTATCAAACGAGATAAATGCCATTCTTTCCCTTTTCAATCTGTTCAATAATAGGTAAATTAAACTATGCTAATTTATTAAAAAAAGAATGTTTAATATTATATTATTTCTAATCAAAATGTCATGTTTAGAAAAAAAATATGAAATTTATTAATTAAAAATTTCAAGATACTAGAAGTATCTTAAAATGGACTTATTATTGGGTGTTTTATGCTAATTTATTAAAAAAAGAATCTTTAATATTATATTATTTTAATCAAAATGTCCTGTTTAGGAAAAAAATATGAAATTTATTAATTAAAAATTTCAAGATACTAGATGTATCACTAAAATGGACTTATTATTGGTTGTTTTATGCCATAGTAATACAAAATAAAATATATAAAGAATGAAATTTTAATGACTATTTAATCATAATATATATTAAATGTTTGTAGGGCTAGAGTTTGTAGACTAAAAAATATATAAGACACATAATATAGGCTCTCTCGTAAATAATGTTTATGAATAAATAATAAATAATGAAAAATTCTTATGGCGGATTTAAATAAGATATTAAACAAAATATTATGACTCGTGATTTCACAATGTATATTTTTTTTATAATTCTTAACAATTGATAATTTAGAAAGTTTCTTTTAAATAAGAAAAAAAAATACCTAATTGTTTAAAATCTAATTATAAATACCTGTGGTGTAACAGAAATAACTGTTAAAGTCAAAACATCGCCTCCTGATTTAATCAGATCAACTACTTGTTTATGAGTTGATCCCTCAACATTAACATTGTTTCTAAAATAATATAAAATACAATATGGCATAACAATTATTTATTTAATTAAAAACATCATTCATGTTTTGCACATCATGGATACTTACACTTCAAGTATTCTATCTCCTTTTCGTATTCCAGCTTCATATGCGGCACCGCCCTCAAGAACAGCACTTACATGCTGTAAAGGAGCATAAAGTTGACCGTTGATACTTTTTAGTTGTCCGCCCTCACTGACTTGACCACGGACATTAAAACCAAAACCAGTAACACTCTTGGTAATGATCACTTCTCGTGGACCTAAAGGAATTTTCGACGACATTGTATGTTAAAACTACATAATCAAAAGACACAAAATTAAATATTTTGCAAACGGATAATGGAAAGTAATGTTTAGTTATTTGAAATTTTCTCGTGAACGTAGAACTTTATCACCTAATGGTGATAACATAGTTTTACTATCAATATTATTATCATTTTTAGACAAAGTATTTACAATGAAGCTGGTACAACGTTTCTCGACCATTAATTCAATAATTATGTAAAAATATGTTTATGAATAATCTTTAACCACTTATAACATACAATAGACTACTACAGCTATCTAAAATAAAACCTGGTTATCACTATTATCCTGAAAAATGGAGGCTTAAATTACTAACATTGTAATTTTTTATTGAAATATAATTTTAACACTTCGAAATTCATTATATAGTAAGCTATTATAAACATTTATTAAATCATAATCATAATCTTAGAGAAACTATTACAGAGGTATTGTTATTAATTTTATAGACTTCATTATTACAATAAATGGATAAATAACTTTTCCCGAATCTATTATTTTTAAAAATATTCTTTATTTGTATCTATCTATTTTTGACACTACATGGCATCTTGCCACTCATACTACCCTATTTTTATTTTACGATTTATCATTACAAAACACATTTTATAATTTATGTTACTAATTATATCCACCTATCCATTGACTGTGAGCCAGACTTTTCCAAACACGTGTGTAAAAATTATAATTAATTTTACGCTTGCACCTCATATACATAAAATATATATATGCCAATCCATTTCCTAACTTAATGATTGTTACATAATTTAATATTATGAGAAATATTAAGTATAAGTAGAATTTCATTTCATTTTCTAGCAAAAATAGACTTTTTTAATTCATCAACCCCAATATAATATTTTATTGAAACAATTAAAATATTAATATTTTTATTTTTGTAGAAATTATTATTAACATTTTTTTTAAGAAGTTTATTTAGGAGGGGAAGTTCTCCCTGAATGCGCAATACTGATAATATCAGCACGTTATAAAAATCATTTGTGAATTTTCAAATACTTAATTCACTAAATAATAACTATATAAAATCTCTAATATTATAGTCCTATATATTATATTATAATTTTATAAGTCTCTTTATAAAATATTCAATCAATATAAATATTTATTTTAAATTAAATCAAATTATATTTTGTTCTGAAATAAATATCAAAATAAAAATGAACTTGTTGTTGACTATCATGCGAAAATAGAAAAGTAAACCAATTCTATAGAAATAACATAGTGATGTCATTATCTATTGATATCCGTAACTGTAATATTAAACACACAATAGTATGAAGTACATTCAACTGCACCAATAATGTAAGTGCACTCGGCTATGTTTTCTAGAATAAAATTAAAATGCACCTAGAGCTAGTTTTATTTTAAAAGGAGGACAAAATACCGTTTGGAGATACCTATCCCCTGTTCTAAAATGTTTGGAGCTCCTATTCGTAATCGTTTATACATTTTGCTTATATGTACTATGTATGTTTTGAATTGCAACATAACTATACTGACTAAGATGATATTGTCTTAATTCAAAGGCGAAACCAAGAGGTTAGGACTTCTCAATCGATAACAATATTCATCTCTAAAATGAAATGATGACCAAAATATTNTATTCATCTCTAAAATGAAATGATGACCAAAATATTGGTTCAAAATATGCAATTTTGTATTTTTTTTTACTATACTCCTTCTCATTATGAAAATTATTGCTACGTCAATGGCTCAGATTTTAAGATTATTAAACTTCACCAAGTGCTAGATGTGTGCATCTAATTGTTTAATTGATAAATATTTTTTTGATAATTTAAAACACAACTATCTCAGCCACTGAAAATAATTTGAGCATTTTAAATTATTTTTAACACAAGTCGAATTATATTTATATAGTACCTATTACAAAATACAAATCTTCTTANCAATGTCTAATGCCAACATTGAAAAAAATAAAAAACAAAAAATCTTTTATTTAGTCAATTTTTATATTATCAGGAAAGATTTAGGAAGCTTAATTGCCACAATAAACTATTTATTTTTTACAGATACAGTTATTATAAATCACCTTTTATATGGTAGTTAAATAGAATCCCAAATTTTTTTTACTTTTAGTCTTAATAATCAACGACCTATTTTTTCAAGTACATGTAGTCTTACTTTTCAAAATATTACATTGTTATTTTCTGAAATGTTCTTGTTTTACATAAAATACTGAAATGACGCTAGTGATTTAGAGACGTATGATGAACAAATTCACAATTGTATGAATGATAAAAAAACTAAAGTTTAATCTTTGATAAACTATTACAGTAAATATCATTGGTATTTTATTTAATATGAAAAAACTTGAATTTTATTTATGTAATTAATAAAAAAAATATTTGTTTATATTAACTGCATGACTAATTTTTAAGATCAAAAAGAGCATGATAGACAATCATTACAATCGACTATTATTATTTTTGTATTTTAGTATGAGATATCCCACAATCTCTGCCAGACAGTATAATTATTAAAACTTTGATTCCTCCTTTTGAAGTTTTCTATTCAATCATACATATAAAATCATGAAGTTTTAATAATTTTTCAAATACAACACATATGTTATTGTAAATAATAAGAATTTCTTTGAAATTCGAAAAAATTAATGAACTAATGTGTGATATATCATACATTAATTCACATTATATAATACAGTTGCAAGATTAGTATTTTATTTGCCGTATAAATGTATTTTATAATATTCTTATTGTATTTTATGTCCATTAACAGCATAAATATATAAACCGAGATAAATATAGATAAATATTTTTTATAAAATTGAAAACATCGTAAATATTATTTTTGATCCCAAAATGTGACAGTATGTACTCAGGTCAAATGTTGAGACATAATTCAAGGACGATTTTACCTAAGCAAATAAATATTATATGTACATTTTGTACTGAATGTCACCCACATACTTTCACCATCAAGTACTAATATAATTTAAAGCGATCGAAGTGACCAAAATAATTTTTTGTTTCTTAATTTAAAGGAAAATTATTGAAATTATTTGACTAATTATTAATTATACTATATGATAAATTTGAATTATTTATATAAATTAGATACACAAACTATTATTAATTATTAGGATCTATTTATTTAATTCGTTAATGCATTTAAACTATTATCATTTACCAAAAAGTTTTTCTTTTCGATCAATTTGTTAAATTTAATGGTTTTTTAAATTCCAATTAATTATAATAAGTTATTATTTCAGCAGTGTAAAGTAAATTTAATGATTAAAATAAAAGTTAAGAGATATTAAATAACGAACAAGATTATTCAAGAAAAAATATTTCAACAATAGTATTGTTCCACTTCTCTGAAAATGATTCCAAAAAAAATGACGCTAAATTTTATAATGTTCAATTGCCACGAACAGAGTATATTATTAAGCAGAAATAATTACTCAAATTCATAAAATAAAATTTTGTCAATTGTGGCCTTAACGAACTAGTTGGTTTCGGAATTGGCTATTTAGTTAGGACACTGACATTTCGATTCCTAAGCATAACCAGTTTTTTTGTTCGATTTGTTCTCAATTATATTACTACTTGGCTACATCGCAGATGTCAGTACTGTCAAAAATAAATATTGTACGGTAAAATTGTAGGAGAATAACGACTCGGTTAGGTAAGGACATAAAACCAGCAGCAGCCGGGGTTGTTTCATTATGTGGCAGAGCGTAGGTACCTTGGGAGTCTGAATACCACTCAGACACTTTGTGTGTGCCGNAATACCACTCAGACACTTTGTATGTGCCGCAACCGACGGGTCACCATAAAAATAAATTATGAAAAAAAGAGAGGTATGATCATCACACAGAGAGTAGTATTAGTGCCAGTGATGGTGAAGACGGTGATTTTGAAATAACAATAAAAAAGGTAGTTTTTGCCAATTGAGAGATCAATACTACATTCATAGACGGGGAACGAAGTCGGTACATTGGTTACCATGGTATGAATATATTCGGGACATTGTAACCACGACGCGCTTGCAATGTCACTGATATTAGTCGATTGATGTTTTCGTTCAGCATTCCAGTCTGCTTCTATCCTTGTCCAACTAAATATAGCGCTACGCACAGATCGTCGTCAGCGGCTGTATCTTCACACGCATAATGCATTATCGTTTCATCTCCGTCTAATCCCGTCGTATTGTGTGAGTGTGTGTATGTGTATTATTGTTTTTTCTCGTTCCTTCCACTTTTAAAATTTATACATATATACATGTACAATGAGTATTTATATTTTTACATATAATAATATATATACTTAATTATAGTGCGTGCGTGCGTTTTTATTATAATAGCGGCTGCCGCATTTTTTCGCTTATATGATTTTTTTTTTATAAACTGACCGCAAACATTAATCAAAAATTTGCTCTTTAAAAATTATAATAAGCCAGAACGGCCATTGTGGCCATCGAGTACTACTACAATTGACGTGCGCATGAATATCTGTTCATCATCTTTTATTTATCAGGTATTAAGTGCATCATCTCTAGTGTGTACTTGTAACGGCAAAGGGCCGGATCAACAACACTAATCACCACTAAAACGAAATGATGGCGTAGACTGCAAGTGTCTTTCATACAAATCTACTCTGATGTTCACAACCCCAACACCCAGAAAGTCGTGAGTACTTGTTTATATCAATTAAAGATCTTAGTAGATTGTGTTACAAAACTCTCAAAATTGAGATTCTTCATCATGTAAAATCGTAATTGCTAGTTAAAAACCTTTTTTTCAATTTTATAGACGCTGTGATGCATTTGGTTAGTCCAGCGTAGTTAATAGAAATGAGCCACAATATGGGCGGCATGGCCCCTTATGTCACGTAAGTAAATATTAGCTGTAAAATTGATAAACATGTGTTTCTGGTTATTTAACTTTTGTGAACTTTTAAAATAGATTACCTAGAGGCCGCAATCAAATGCCGTATTACAATCAGTGTCAGGACATGCCACCACATATGCAGAGAGGTCCATGCTATCCTGATGACTTTAATAAAATGGGTGGACCATGCTCGTAAGTATTTTATCAATTATTAATTTTAGGTATCTAATTTTTATTATCTATTCTATTGTAACATTTAACTTGTTATCTGAAAACACTTGATAACTACACAAAAATTAGGTTCTTGAATAATATATTGTTAAAATTTTATTTTAACATTTTTTCTCATATTTCTTTATTCAAGTTTACTACTTTTTTTTTTTTGTAAAAAAGTTATAACCATGTCTTACAGCTAAATTATGAATTCTTGTTTTTTATTATTATATCAAAACTAACTTTTTGTATCTTAATTTTTTTAACTTGTCAAAAAAAAAAATCTAAAAGTTAATGTTCCAGTTAAGTTAAAAAAGTTAAAAGTTAAAGTTGTTGATTCTTACACCTAAATGAAAGGCTAATTAATAACTTGATTATTTTTTATGTATAATAGACTCACTTTTTAAAATTATTGTATTATATTTATTATTAATTTTAAAAAATCTTTGGAAAGTAAAAAAAAAAATAATTAAATGTT